GGGAGCACCGCCGCGCTTCCCAAGCGGCGCACTATCCAGTGCGCCACCGGGCCGGCCCATTCAAGTGAATCTTGAAAATGATCTTCAACTAAGTCTCTATTTCATTGAATAAACAACACACTTAGAAGATATGTTTTTTCTAAGAGTTCCAATTTTGTGAAGGGTAAATAACTCATTTTTCTTCCCATAGCTCCTGTTTCAAACGTTTCTATCTGAAGTCATCCCCCAATGTAACTAGAAGGAACTGCATTCTCTACAGAATTTAGAATATGTGAGACAAACTTAAAAAGCAATAAACCACATATCCACTTACAGCATTCATCCCATACCCATATTTTAAAATGTTATTTGCTTAGATACCATGCAAAAAGAATGACAATGACCCTGATTAAGTCAGTGATAAAAAAAACAAAAGCTAATCTTAAAGAGTATTAAAATTAAACATTAAATAAGTATTAGGTGCCTAATACAAAGAACAATAATGGACTGCAAGTCAGAAACTTGGGTTTTAGTCCCATCCTTGCCAATTACTATGTAAACTTTAGCAAATCATCTGTTTGTTTCCTCATCAATAAAATAGTGATAATACCTGTCCTGACTTTGTCATCAGTCTGCCATGCAGATCAAGTAAGTAGATGTAAGGTAATATTGTACACTATGAAGGTTTAAACAGTGAGTATATCAATCAACAGAATCAATGATTAATTTTTTAAATAAATATATATTGAGCACCCACTTTGTGCCAGTCACTGTTTAGGAGGTGGAGGGGATACAGCAATGAATAAAACAATCAAAAATTTCTGACCTTATAGAGCTTAATTTATAATGGAGGGAGATAGACAAAAAACAAATAAGTAAAAATATGTAATATGAGAACATGACAAGTGAAATGGAGAAAAACAAAGTGGAAAAGGGTAAAAAGAATACAGGGGATGAGGGTGAAATAGCAACTTCAAATAAGGTGGTTAGGAAAGGCCTCATTAAGAAAGTAACATTTGAACAAAGATTTGAAGTAGGTGAATATTGGAGAAAGAATATTCCACGCAGAGAGAACAGCACTGGTCATATTATGACTATTTATTGATTTAAAAACACAGATAAGGAAGGCTGCATCCTCTCTCATTAGGCTTTCTAGTGGCTATATTCATTTAACTCTGATAAAATTAGGAGAAGCAACACTAATGTCCAAGTACTTCCAATAACTGCCTATACTCTTACAAGCCACTAAATGAAGAACACAGTCATCAAAAGAGAATAGCATGAAACAAAAAAAATTTTTTCAAAAGGTAAACTGTCCTTACTTCCTTTCCCTCATGTTGTAGTTTTCTATTAGTATCCGTCACTTGATTCTGTGGAGAGAAGACAATTTAAACTCATAAAAAACAAACATTTAGACAATAGTTAGAAAAGATCAAATTTTAATATGAAAAGACTGGGGATAAGTAACTAGATATTTTCAGAATTCCACCACATGTTGGTCTACTGGCATTCCCTCAGATTTAAATTATATCAGCTTTGCTACCGAACATTTCCATGACCTTTTGAACAACAACAGAATCTACTAAAAGGTATGTTAAGTTCAGAACATCCCAAATTAAGATACTACAACATCTAAAGATCACACTTTAACTTTGGAGAGAAAAAAGAAAACAAAAGAGAGAAAAATAAAACTGAAAAATAGCCCACAAAAAGCTTCACCGTCTCTATGAAAGAACAAATTTTATCATAGATATTCCTCACTTTACTAATATATTCCTGGAAAAATTGATATAAATTAAACTTTTTAGTTCAAGTCAAATTTTTCCTGTTTATTATCCTAATTTTTAAAATGTTTAACTTAATTTTTTTGGATCATTAATTCTTAACAGTTCCTAACACTTCCATGGTCTCATTTTTCCAACATAATCGTTGCATCAGATAGTCAAAACTATGAATAAGCCTTTAAATGATCTACAGTTCATAATCGAGAGGAACGGGCTCCCACTTTTTTTGGCATCCACTTTTTTGACATCTCAATTGATGTACAAAAACTAAATATTTAGAATAATAATTTCATCATTTCAGACACTATAAAAACATAAGCAATATTAACTTCTAAAACATTCTCTAATATAGGCTTTCTGGCTTTCTACCAATAACTGCCACTTCTTATACTTTAAATGCATTCCCCTAACCCAGCATTTCTTATGCCCCATAGAACCTCAAGAAATGTTAGTTGATAGGTATGCTACACATGCACACAGATGTACAAACTCACATGTGCATGAGTATGCACACACATGCACTCACATAAAATATGACATGCATTGTAAATGCCCAAGAAAGGGATATCATACAGAATGTTTTTCAAACTTATTTAACCTAACACCCTTTTATTGAAGATCATCTCAAGAGATTAGTTTTTAAGAAAGCACACTTTTGAAATCACTGCCCCAAAATATACACTATACCTGGACTATCATTTTCAGAGCAGATTACCACATGCACCCCCGTTCAAAGACAAAATGAAATCTGACCTCCTCCAGAAAGCCTTTATAAAGTAACAGAAAGAGAGGCAAGAAACCTTCAAATTCCCTCTTTATTGTCTACTTAATAGCATCACATGTGAAACACTTTGTGGTTTTATTGGACTGTGAGTTCAATATGAATGCAGATCATGATGTAGCTGCCAAAAATAGAGATCTAACGTTAATAGAAGCACCGTCTAAAAGACCACAACAATATGCTGAACTTTCAGGAGGAGAGAACAAATTTAAGGATGCTAGAGATGGGGGGAAGAGAGGGGGAGGTGGTTTAGGAAGTGATAGGTTGGGCAAAGGGCATAAAGAAATATCACGATTTGTAAGACTGAATATGCTAAAAATAAATAAAATTTTTTTTAAAAAAAGCATTGTCTAAAACAAGGGTCAGCAATCTGTTTCCACAATGGGCCAGATAGTAAA